CCCCAAGCCCTTCTCTAGCTTCTGTCTTTGCCCCCCAAAATCCCTTCCACATCTATCCTTGCCCCCACAAATTTCCTCTCTAACTCCATCCTTGCCTCCCAAAACTCCTTTCCAGCTCCTACTCTTGACCCTCAAAATCCCCTTCCACCTCCTATTGTTGCCCCTCAAACTCCATTCCAGCTTTTATCCTTGCCCCCCCAAAATCCCCATCCTTGTCTCCCAAAATCCCCATCCTTGTCTCCCAAAATCCCCATCCTTGCCCCTCAAACTCCCCATCCTTTATCCCCAAGCCCTCCTCTAACTTCCATCCTTGCCTGTCAAATTTCCCCTTCACCTCCATCCTTGTCACCCAGAACTCTTTTCCAGCTCCCATCCTTGTCCCTCAAGCTCACTCGTCAGCTTCTATCCTTGCTCCCCAAAATCCCCATCCTTTCCCCCCAAAATCCCCATTCTTGCCCCTGAAACTCTCCCTGCAGCTCCAATCCTGACATCCCACCCCATCTTCATCCAGCACCCCCACTCCCAGGGTCACAGCCATGGGCTGTGGCCAGGGGGGATTCCTCACTCTAAACCTCTGTCCTTCCAGCCACACATTGACCCACATCCTTCCCTTCCCGAGAGCCATTCCCAGGGCTCAGGACAGGCTGGATCTGGGCTCCTGACACAGCCCAGCCCACTGGTGACACGGTGATGTCTGGGACATCACTTCTAAGAAATCAAGAACTGGCTGGGGTTCAGTTTGTGCAATGACAGTGTGAGCAATCCTCTTCCCTGCGCTTGTTAACCAGGTGAGCGCCAGTTTTCCACCAGATCCTGCTGGGATTGGTGTCTAAACCCGGTGATAAATTCCACCTGCACGGGCAGGAGCAGCACAGGGTGTCGCTCCATCGGCGCCATCCGCAATTGCCTGTGCTCAGCCGGGGTGAAAGTGTGGAAACTGGGAACTGGTGATTCCCAAGGTGGACATCTCCTTCAGCAGTGCCCCAAGATGTTGTAAAAGTGGGGAGAAAGGAATCTGTGCCCCCAAAAGGGTTAATGAAGCCTTAGAAACTTCCATTTTAATGATGGTTGTCATGTTTACGGAGCACAGAGCCCTGCACCCCCGGCATGGGCAGGGGATAAGACAGAACAGGCATTAAAAATGTTACTCAGCACTTGGCTGCCTAAGTTTTGGGGATTTTTGAGTTGCTCCCAGCCATGCCAGGCAGGACCTGCTGTGCTGAACTCAGTTGATCACAGCCACTTAAAAAATGAGCTGGGCTGAAGCCTGGCACTGCTTTAGCTGTTTCCAGTGGTGGACTGGAATTCTCTGTCTCCCTCCCCAGGGGAAGGGGACTGTGGTTTGTTTTATATGCACAACCATTTGCTGCCACGGGCAAACATGAATCATAGCAAACGCTGCAGAGGGAGAGGGAAAGGAGGAAGGAAGACACGTCACAGCACGAGTTAACTGGTGACACTGGCTCTGGGAAGGCGCCTGGTGTCCCTGCAGTGACATTAGAGGTGGGGAGGCTCTTGAGAGGGGCTGGAGCCTTGGCTGGGCCCCTCTCTTTGCTTGGCATCCTCCTCCTCCTCCTCCTCCTCCTCCCGCCTGTCGGCACACACCCCTGGGCCGTGACTCAGCCCTCGCCCACGGGATGCGGATCCCTGCAAACCAAACCTCCCTCCCGTGGCAGCGCACGCGATGCCCCCGGCTGTCCCTCGCTGCCGCCACGTGGGGAGGGAGGGCAGCCCCCCTTGGACCCCTTTGGGACCCCTCTGGGACCCCCGCACCCACAGAGGGTCTCTCCTGCCTCCTGGGATCTCCAGAAGCTGTGGAAGCACAGCCGAGGGTTTTCTTTTCAGGAGCGGTGCTGGGTGTCCAAGGCAAACCCGGCCAGGTCGGGCACAGCACTCGGGGCACGATCTCCAACTCTTCAGCCCCATCTAGAGTCTGGCCAGGCTGGAGCCGCTCCCAGCAGGAGCTGACACCTGCCCGGCTCATGGGGGGCTGCACCTTCCCTGACCAGCTGCTGGGACCTGCTGGCTTCTCCCCTCCGAGCCCGGAGTCACAGGAGGGATCCTGGAGCGCCAGAGAAGGGAATGCAGCAGGTAAATAGGTAAATAGCAGCCCTGGATGGGGGTGAGATGGGACAACGTAGAACCTGGCACAAGCACATGCTCCCAGACTGAGGAACCAGCTCCATCCCTGCCAGACTGGGGACTGCTGTGTATGGACAAGGATTAAGGTGATGATTGAGAGCCATCCCGCAAACAAAGGAGAGCCCTGATGCCAAAACTCTTCTGGATGTCTCCATGAAAATAAAATGGCTTCTGAATGTTTGTCCCTCACCAGGGCAGGAACTACACCTTTGGGAAGTGCTGCAGGATCCTTGGACAGAAAAGATCACTGCACAACACGGGGCCCTCCCATCACCTCACACAGAAGAGTCCAGGGTTTTCCTTGTGCTGCCTTTGCCCATTAACCCCCTGTCATTTCCTCTCCTCCTCTCTCAAATGATTACACAACACACGTTTAAAGGCCCTGCCTGAACATCCTTCTTGCACACTTTTTTCTTGTCTCTCAGCACAGCACCCTGGTGCCAGCGCTCACCACCCTGCCAGGAAACTGCAGATAAACTCAGCTGAGGGGAGAGCAGAAGGGAGGGCGCTTATCTGTGCCCGGCTTCCCTCCTCTGCACTGCCTTGTTACCATGACAAAACCTGCATTTTTTAAACACCACGCAGACACAGCTGATCTCGTGGAGAAGCAACAAGAAAGGAGCAGTCACAGGGACTGACTGTCGGATGGTGGCACGTTTCTCACCAGCTGACATCAGAAGGCCCTCACGCTGCTGTTGGGGACAGAACAGGGGACAGAGAGATCCAAAGGAAGTTATTTTGGCTGCAGGACAGCCCCTCTCTGCTATTCACTCCCTTAAAACGCCCTGGTGATCACACGTGTCTCTCTCACAAGGCAGAAAAGGGATCTGTGTATGGACAGAGACAATAAAATCCCAGCCCCCAAGCTGTGGTGTGGCTCTCTGCCCCCGAGGCAGTCCAGCTCAGCACTCCCTGTGCAGTAACAGGGGCCAGGAGCCATCAGCTCTGAGCTACAGGTGTGCAGGGTGCCTGCGAGGCCGAGCAGATCCTGCAATTCCTGCAGCCCTTGGCCAAGTGCCCTTCCCCAGATGGCTCCAGGGGTTCCTATCACACACAGTCCCAGCAGCAGAATCCAAATGTGCTGGCAGCAGTTTGTGGCTTCCCTACAGACATTTCCTGCAGGGATAATGGGGGATAAACTCACCCTTGTCACCTCAGAGCTAATGGGACACCAACCAAGTTCTGCATGACCAAGCGCTCAGGATCCAGGGCAAGGGCTTAATTGTAATTTGGACACTTCATAGAGGTGCAGCTGCCAAGGGGACAACCTCAGGCACAGCATGGAAGAGCTGCTGCCAAAAGACAGAAACTCCAGAGCAGTGCAGGTGTTTGGAGCAGATGGCAGAGCACAGTCATCCAGAAATAGAGAAAATTACCTTCCCAGTGCAGTCCAGAGACAGGAACACCTCCAGGAAACCAACTCAGTTCCCTTTTCCATCCCTCCAGTTTATTCCTGCAAAGTCTACATTTGCCAGATTGGGCTGGCACCACTCTCCGGGTTGCACTTGGCCACTGACACAATGAAATGCCCTCAGCATAAGTCCTACAGCCACCTCCAGGCCTGGGCAACCAGGCCACAGGTAGTAACAAGGCCATGAGAAACAAGGAAAGGGGGAGGAAAAGCCACAGAGGAATGGCTGTGACACTGTTATTGGAGGGGAGGTTAAAAGACATGCATGTTCCTGAGAAAAGCCAGAGTTAATGAGTGGATGGAGAGTTGAGACATCCCATATCCCTCAGCTCTGGATCATTTCATCCCAAGCACACAAAGAATGGCTTGTGGTATGCAAGTGGCTTGTGCTCTTGCAGCAGATCTAAGCAACGTGCCAGCTGGGCACGCGGTCCCAGCATCAGGGACCCAAAAACAAACATTGGCTGAAGCACTAAGTGCTCTTTCCACACTTGTGAACAGACACTCGTGTTTGCTCTTCCCTGTGCAAACACAACAAAAGCCACAAATCTCTGGTGCTCCCCAGCCCTGGGTTTGCCATCAGCTTCCTGGAGACCAACAGCAGAGAGAGAAACCCTCGGCCAAGGTAAGAAGAGGGGCAAACAGCCCTGTGTGGGTCAGCAACCCTCACAGAGGGCAGAGGCTCCTCTGCGGGGACACCTACAGCCTGAGGGGATCCCAACCCCACAGCCTGGCCCAGAGACCCATCCAAGGGGGTCCCAACCCCTTGCCCTGGCACAGAGACCCATCCAAGGGATCCCAGCCCCACAGCCAGGCACAGAGACCCATCCAAGGGGTCTCAACCCCACAGCCTGGCCCAGAGACCCATCCAAGGGGGTCCCAACCCTCTGCCCTGGCACAGAGACACGCACCCTGCGCCGTGGGCTTACCGGGGATGAGCTGGCGGCGGCGGTACAGGAAGGTCTGGTAGGCCGTGTAGTCCCGGTAGACGACGTTGAGGCCGATGCTGCGGCTCTCCAGCCAGTGCACGGTGGCCAGGCCCCGGGCACACACCTCCAGCGCCCGCACCCGCAGCGCCCCGCGCAGCTCCAGCTGCACCCACCCGTGCAGCAGCTCCCCGCTGCCGTGGGCCAGGCCGTGCTCCAGCCTCACCACCAGCCTCTGCACCCGCCCCGGCAGCTGCATGGCCACAGGAGCTCCAGGAGCTCCCCTGCAGCTTTCCAGGGAAAGGAGGAAGAGCAAAGACTACACCAAAATCCCTGAATTTATCCTGGCTCCTAGCTGGCCCCACCCTGCAGGCCTTCCCCAGGGTTGGCCTGAGCCCTTGTTTTGCAGCGATGCTTTAGCATTGACCTCATGTGTGTGAGGCTGACGATGTGCCCGGAACGGGGCCGTGGTGACAAGGGACGTGTTTTTAAACCAACTGAGAAAAAAAAAAATGTGATTTCATCTTATCTCTGAGTCACAGACACTGGCGACGTGACACGGGGACGTGCCGGTGGCTGCGCTGACAGGGAGGGGTGTCACACACCACCAGCCACGCTGCCGGGTTTCACACAGCGGGACAATCCAAGAAAACCTTCCCAGTGCAGGCATTCCTATGGCACTGCTGGAACAGGAGAGGAGTTTAGAAGGCAGAGGCCCTCGCTCCAAAAGCCAGCTTTGCTTTTCCATGTCTGAAGTTACACTAAAATCCACGTGAAAAAGAAAGTGAATAATCACAGGGACTCCCGGCAACAGCTCTCCCAGCCAGCTGCTGCCTCCAAGGGTGATGCCCTTCTCCCCGTGGCTGTTCCTGCAGCAGCACAGGTGGCAGTGCCACCTCAGGGTCACATCAAAGTAATGGGACAGACCTGGAGCAGATGCAAGTCCCTGTTTATGCATCAAATGATGCAACTGAGGTGTTTGACTGGAGGTGTTTAACAATGTGCTGGCATGAGGGACTGATGTGAGTGCCTGTGTGCACTTGGAAGAGGTGAGTGCACGGCTTCTTTGAAGCACATGTGGAGCAGAGACTGTCCCATTCCTGAAAATAGAATCAAATCCATAAAGGAAAGTACGAGGCTCGTGGGCCCAGGCACTGCTCACACACAGACTGAAGCAGCTGTGAAACTTCACTAGCCCCGTGCTCAAAGGGTCCCGAGGAATCAAACCCATGGGCATGAAAAGGCTGAGAAGAGTTTGTGGAGTGGCAGCTGTGCCACCCTGCTCGCTCAGCCCCCAAAGGAGGGGGATGAACAGCCCTCACTGACCCTTCTGGGACACACCTAGATCCCAAACAGAGTTAGTGCAAGCTCAGCAGTCAGGAAGCCCATGTGAGTGACCAACTCAACAAAAACACAGGGCTCACCTCTAGGAAAACAGCCCACTCATCACAACCTGGGCAGAGCTGCCTCGCTGTCCCACTGTTCATTGACCTTTGGTTGCAGGCCTTGACACCAAAATCCAAATAGATAATTAGGGAATATTCCATCCCCCACACAGCCCTGATGGTGCCTCTCGCTCTGTTTGATCTCCTGCCCTTCCTCTCTGCTTCCCCCTACCCCACCTTCTTCATTCCACCCCAGAGGCGCTCCGTGGGTCCTGCAATCCTGAGGGATGTGCCACCCACGCCTTTGGGCTAATCTCCTAGTGTTTATTCTTGCTGTCACAACACCTCCTTGTGTCCTCATTCAATCTGAGAAATAGATGTTCCCTGTGACAACACACAGACGGGCCAAGAGCAGAGCACAAGGAGGGTTCTGAGATCCCACGCCGTGTAGGCAGCTCAGAGTGCGTCAGCAGTCGCTGGAGAAGGGAGAACATCACCTTCCTCTGGGGACAGGGTCCTTCCAGGGTCCTCATGGGGACACAGCTCGCTTGAGAGTTTGCCTTTCAGATTTCAGTGGGCTCCTGGGCTTGGGTGTGAGCTCACCTCTCTGCTCAGCCCTGCAGAGGTTCTGTGCCCTCTTGGGCAGCCCCTGGGATAAGCATTTCATCTGAGGAGACAAAACAGCTTTCAGCTCACTGGGATGGGGCTGAGAAAGGGGCAAGTGGCACCACTGAGCCTGGCAGCCCCAAGATCTGAGCCCAGTGACCTGAAGGGTCACCCCACAGGGGCAGCTGCAGCATCCTCTGTCTCTGGTACCTGGCAGATGCTCAGCTTCCTCTGCTGGTGCTGCAGAGACCTTTACCCTGGCTGGACAGCTCTAGCCACGACAATTTTCATCCTCTGACCCTCTGTGAGGGACTTCAGTCACCTTCTACCTCCTTCCAACATTCCCTGGCTTAGGGATTTGGTTGCCTTTCCTTCCTCTCCCTTCAAAATATTTCTCTTCTACAGCTCTGCTCCCACCTGAGGCTGAAGCAGAGAGGGTTTGGTGCTCAGTGGTCCATATCAAGTAGCTCAGGAGCATATTCCAAGGTGAGTTAAGGGGAGGCTGGAGCTTTTTTGGGTATAAACCCACTTCCCCTGTGGTTAATCCAAGCCTATTAAGGCTGGACCTGCTGTAGCACGTCTTTGGGGAGTCCCTCTGCTGCCTGTGTGGCACCAGCATGGCTGGCGTGGTTCTGACAGAACTTTCATCTGCTGACAGATGGAATCAAAATAAAAACTAAATTTGAGGCAGTAAATTAGGAGGCAGCACCAGGAAAGCTCTGCAGTCACAGATACCTGTGTGCATTTCCCCTGAAGACAGGAAAAGGCCGGCTCTGCCGTCAGCAGTTTGCTCAAAACCTTCGCCCAAACATAAAACAGCTCTCAGGGTGAGGAGGCAAATGAAGAAATTCACATGGCAGTTACGGGAATATCACTCCATATGGTAGTTATGGAGCTGCTCCAGAAGTTTAGGGCCAAGGAAAAGACCAATTCAACTGTGATTTGTTCCACATTTAGTTAATCAAATGGCTTAAACACAGATCCATGGCATGAAGGGACCTCTCTCTTAACTGCTGGAGAAACAGGAGGCAACGTCAGAGGAGGATTTTCTTAATGCCTTCCATGACTAGCTCTAACCACATCCCTTCCTGAGGTTGCATAAGCACAGCTTTTGATCAAAATCCTTTCCTTCCTCCCAAAAATAAATGTAAAACAACTTTTAAAAACAAACATAGCGATGGAGAAAGATCATGACACTGGTTCATGTCCCAGAAATCATTCATTTTATTCATTTTACGTAATGAACTGGCAAAGGGATTGACACCAGATTGCAGCGAGGTGAGTCACAAGAGTGTGGAACAAGGATGTGGTACATCAGGTGGGATAACTGCAGCATCTGAGGATACAGCAAGTGTAGAACGATCAAAATCACTGAATATCCCAAGTGGGAAGGGACCCACAAGGATCTCAAGTTCAGCTCCCTGACTGGAAAGGCTGCGCAGCAAAAGCTCGGCTGGGAGTGGCTCTGCTTAGTGCTATGTCACTGTTTCATGAAATCAGATTGATTTACTCAAATGATCATTTACTCAAAAGCTTGCTTTACTCAAAAGGTTCTCCCCGCCGAGGCTGCTGGCACTGCCCAGGCTCCTCAGGGAATGGGCCCGGCCCCAAGGCTGCCAGAGCTCCAGGAGCGTTTGGACAGCGCTCTCAGGGATGCTCAGGGTGGGCTTGTTGGGCGGTCTGGGCAGGGCCAGGGGCTGGATTTGATCCCTGTGGGTCCCTTCCCACTCAGGATATTCTGGGATTCTGTCACACTCAGCTATAAAAAGAGAAAGCAAAATATCCAAGTAGTTGTTCCAGCTTTAACTGACAGCAGTGTGAGTGTGACTCTGCCCAGCCACTGGACCCACTGGAGCCCGGGAGGAAGCGGGTGGGATCCACGTGCTGAGGGAAGGTGTAGGAGGATGGAGAGAGCCGGATTTCTGTCTCCACACAGAATATTCCCCTCCCATCACTCAGCCGGGGGCTGGGAGGTCGCTATAGGTGGGACGGAGGAAGATGTCCCTGACTCCTGGGTGACATGGGGATGTGGAGATCTTGTGCATGTGAGCACAGGACCATGGGGGCACAGTGGGGGCCACCATCCACAAGGGTTTCCTCAAAGTTGGGTTTCCCAGATTTCTTTGTATCAACCCTGGGGCTGGCCTAGAACCCCCCAGAACGGGGGAAGCAGGGGTGAGGAAAGGGATGGTGGAGGGTTCGCTGGAGGGGTGCGGAAGCCATGAGGGACACAGACAGCAGGAGCCAGCTCCGCTCTGACACCATCCCTGGGCAGGCACTGAAATAAATGGAGACAGACTCCCATTTTACACTTTTATTAGAATTCAGCCTTGGGGTGGGGGCCCAAGGCACCACTCCCATTGTTCCACCATTGTTCCCACACTGGCAGCTCCAAGGAGAGGGCACAATTCAGCTTTTCAGCACACACTGCAAAACTGGAGTTTCCATCCTCACAAGAGCAGCCATGAGGCCTGCTTTCTCAGGCCTGTTGTCCACTTTCCCAGTCCTCTGTGGTCATGGTGACACCTTTTGAGCAGGCTCAGGTGCTGCAGGAAGACAGTCTTCCATTGTAGCTTGCTAGGATATGTCTCTTTGGCCTTTTATTTCCTTGTTGGCTTATTGTTTTGGTGTCTGGTGTGCCTTAGTTTGCATATGCCTCGGGGCCCACAGCCCCCTGGAAGCAGCAGCAGATGGGAAAAGGGAGGTAAGAGTGTAGGTTGTTACATAATAACAGGGAAGTAAGGGAAAGGGGGTAGAGGTACATCTTATAAGAGAACTCTTAAAACACTTCAATAACCGGTAAGTAATTAGCATTACTAACAACTGTCGGGGTAAACAAGGGGTACAGTTAACCGTACACAACCGAACACCTACAGTATTTTAACTGGGCTGGATTTCTTGAGAGAGTTTTTATTCATAACAGGCACCATCCATCCCCGCGCAGGGCCCGGCTAGGCCGCAGGGGCAGCCAGGCCGCGTTCCCATAGCGACGGCTGCGCCTCCTTCCCGGCGTGCCCCGCGGCCACACGTGACTTTGCACCCGGAAGTGTTGCCATGGCGGCGGGCGCCCTCCGAGAGCTCGTGGCCGCGCTGGAGACGCACCGGGGCCGCGACCGGGCGGTGAGTGAGGGGTGTGAACCCTCCGGTACCGGGCGGCGAGTGAGGGGTGTGAGCCCTCCGGTACCGGGCGGCGAGTGAGGGGTGTGAGCCCTCCGGTACCGGGCGGCGATAGAGAGGTCTGAGCCCTCCGGTACCGGGCGGTGAATGGCGGGACCCGATTCTACTGTAGCGACCCATCCTTAAGGGGAGGGAAGCACTTGAGAGATTCCTAAGTGCTCGTTGGTGGAAAAGAAGGACAAATGGTAGAGGGTCCACAAACACTCCAAGTTTTGCCGGTAAATGACACGTTTGGGGTAGAAATGGGTATGGGAGTCCCGGATCACAGCGCGATGGGGTTTGGGTAAAGGGAAGAGAAGTTGAAGAGGGAGAGGCGAATTAAAGAAAGGAGAAGAGGAGAAAAGAGGGATAAAAAGAAAGGATTAAAGAGAGGAGAAGGAGATGCCCAGCCCTGCTTGCAGCATCACCTTCCCTGAGCGGGTTCCCCGCAGGTCCGGGCGCTGTGCTACGGCTGCCAGCTGCTGGGGGCAGCGCTGCCCGGGCC